GTTAGAGGGCGTGTTCTTTGGTCGTTATTAATCCTCACCCGGGGATAATTTTTTACTGATTTTCATAGAGAGAGTGGGAGGGGAGGAGGAGAGGGTGAGAGAGAGAGAGAGACACCCATGTGAGACAGCGTTTGGTTGCCTTCCAAATGGGCCCCTAGAGCCTTCCAGGCCTGGGATCAAGCCTGCTCCCCAGGTACATGCCCTTGACTGGAAATGAAACCTAAGACCCTTTGGTCCTCAGGCCGTCGCTCTAACCACTGAGCACACCAGCCAGGGCTACGTGATTTTTTTTTATCAATAATAATAATAATAATAAAAAAGATTGTTGTCCTGGCTGGTATGGCTCAGTTGGTTAGGCCTTGTCTGGTGCACCAAAGGTCACTGGTTCGATTCCTGGTCAGGGCACATGCCCAGGTTGCAGGCGTGATCCCCAGCAGGGGGTGTGCATGAGGCAGCCAATGGACGTTATGCTCCTGCATGGACGTTTTTCTTTCTCCCTCTCCCTTCCTTGCTCTCTGAAAAGAAAATAAAAATATCGTGGCATGTAACTACGTTCAGTGTCCCTCCCCTTTGTGGGGTAATGTTTTATGGAAACGTCACCACGGAACAATGATCAGGTGAGAAAGCCCTGCACAGCGAGATCCAGATGCACGGAGCTGGACCAACGTCCGGGCCCAGGCCCCGCCGGATGAGGTGACGCAACCCCACGCGTCTTCTCCTCGCCCGCACTCCCTGCCCCCCAGGCTGCGTCCCTGCCCCGGCGCCCACAGGCAGTGTGTGGACCTGTGATGTGGAGTTCTGATTCCTGTGGTTTGGGGTTCTCACAGGGGTGAGGGGGACAGCCTCTCAGCACGGGGACTCCCTCCCAGCCCTGCCCACCCGGGACCTGCGCCCGCCACGGCCGTCCTGTCCCGTCAGCACAAATCCTGTGGCCTCAGCAGTTGGCCTGGCCTCGGCGGGAAGCTGGAGGCTGGAGCCAGCGTGGGGAGCGTGGGGGCCTGGCTCACCTGCTCAGGCTCATCAGGCGGCCCCAGGCTGGGGCAGGTGTGTGCGCGTGTGTGCGGGTGTAGTGAGTGTGCGTGTGCGTGTACATGGGTGTGCATGTGAGATTCTGGGGACAACACACCAAGTGGGATGGGGGACAGTGACGGGAACTAAGGGGGCCTCTCTGGGGCTCTCCCTGGGGGCAGGGGCTGGGAGGAGCCCCCTTCACAGGTCTTGTGCTCATCTGAGGGGGGGCAGGGGCCGGGGGACAGGGCTGAGGCGCTGGGAGGCGGGCAGGTGGGTGCCTGTGTCTCAGGCTGAGCCCGTGTGTGCAGGTGTGTGTGCAGCTGTGACAGCTCGTCACTGAGTAGCCTGGCTCCTGGCTCCTGGCTCCCTCGGGAGCCGGCTCTGCTGCTGTGTGTGGAAAGGAGGTCAGGTTTCACGAAAAGCCCAGAATAGCCCCGTGTGCCCGGAGGAGACCTGGCCTGGCCTCCCGGTGGCCGGTTTGGCCCCGGTCCTGTCGTCCTGGCCCTTCCCCCCGGCCTCCGGGACGGGGCCTCAGCCCTGCTGCACGCGCGGGAGGGAGGGAGTGGGGGAGCCGGAGAGGCCTGCCTGCCCTCCCCATGTTTACAGCACCTGCCAGGCGTTGGCACTGCCCAGGTGTAGGTCCTCCGGGCACAAGGGGGATGCTGACCGGGGTGGACACCCAACAGGAACCTTCACAAATAGGTGACAACAGCCACTGTGAGGGTCCTGCCTCAGAGGGGGAGGCCTTGGCTGGGACCCAGGGTTTGAGGGGGGCTCCAGGCTGAGGGGATGCCCCGGGCCGAGGAGAGCCAGGACGGGGCCAGGCAGGATCTCCTGGCCATAAAAGGATCTGGACCCTGGGCCCCAGGGACCCCAGGCAGCCAGGCCAGATAAACGGGCCGCCACCTGGGCCTGTGCTCTGCCACCGCCGCTCTGTGACCCGCGCAGCGTCCTCCGGGCAGGCCGCGGACATGGTAGGGCCGCTCCGGCAGAGTCAGGGCTGCTGGGCGGGGAGCGGGCTGGGGCAGTGCTGGGGGCAGGGACGGACCGAGCCCCCGGGCGCAGGGACGGTGGAATCTGATGCAGGAAGAAGCGGCAAGGCTGGAAGAGAGGGCAATCGGGGGCCCAGACCGAGCCACCCTTTCGGAAAGCCGCCATGGAGGTGGCAGGCCAGCGGGGCCAGGACCGGCGCGGCCGGAAGCACCCCCCCCCCCTTTTTTTTTTTAATACTTTAAAAAATATATTTTGTTGATTTTTTACAGAGAGGAAGGGAGAGAGATAGAGAGCTAGAAACATCGATGAGAGAGAAACATCGACCAGCTGCCTCCTGTACACCCCCTACCGGGGATGTGCCCGCAACCAACGTACATGCCCCTGACCGGAATCAAACCTGGGACCCCTCAGTCTGCAGACCGACGCTCTACCACTGAGCCAAACCGGTTTCGGCTGGAAGCCCCCTTTCCTTCCTCCCCAGCCTCCACCCTGGCCAGGCTCCTCCCCATGCCAGTCCAGGTGCCCTTCACCGGTCTCACCTGTGCCCCTGCTGTGGCCCCACTGCAGCCCCGCTGCTCCCGCAGGTGCTGACCTGTGTGCTGGCCCCACCCAGGGCCTCCTCCAAGCTGCCTGGGAGCCACGCCCATCTCTCCAGACCCACCACTCCCCCCCCCTTGTCCGGGAGCTGCTCTGGGCTGAGGCGTCCTTTTTATGTTAATGGTTCATTATTATTTTTTTAATCCTCACCTGAGGATATTTTCCACTGGTTTCTAGGGAGAGTGGAAGAGAGAGGGAAAGACAGAAACACTGATGGGAAAGTAACACATCAATTGGTTGCCCCCCGCACGAGCCCTGACCTGGGCCGGGGAGGAGCCTCCCACTTCGGTACGTGCCCTTGACTGGATAGAACCTGGGGAACCTTTGGTCCGCAGGCTGATGCTCTATCCACTGAGCCACACTGGCCAGGGCTGGGCCTCCTTTCTAAACCACACACTCTGAAGGGATCTGTGTCCTGGGGCCTCGAACCTCCCAGGACGGAGGGGCAGAGGCCCCGTGAAGCTGGCGGTGTGTCCCCGCCCCCGCAGACGGAGCGCCTGACCCCCGAGCAGGTCAAGGAGAACAAGGGCGTCTTCGCGATGTTGGACGAGGAGGGCAACGGTCAGGTGAAGACGGCCGAGCTGGAGCGGCTCATGAGCCTGCTGGGCATCAACCCCACCAGAGCGAGCTGGCCTCCATGGCCAAGGATGGGGACCAAGACAGTGAGGCGGGCGGGGCCGGGGTGGGCCGGGCGGCTGTGAGGGGGGCTGAGGGGGGCTGTGAGGGGGGCTGCGAGGGGGGCTGAGGGGGGCTGTGAGGGGGGCTGAGGGGGGCTGCGGGGGGCTGCGAGGGGGGCTGAGGGGGGCTGTGAGGGGGGCTGAGGGAGGCTGTGAGGGGGGCTGTGAGGGGGGCTGAGGGGTGGGCCGGGCGGCTGTGAGGGGGGCTGAGGGGGGCTGTGAGGGGGGCTGAGGGGGGCTGAGGGGGGCTGTGAGGGGGGCTGAGGGGGGCTGTGAGGGGGGCTGTGAGGGGGGCTGAGGGGGGCTGAGGGGGGCTGTGAGGGGGGCTGAGGGAGGCTGTGAGGGGGGCTGTGAGGGGGGCTGAGGGGGGCTGTGAGGGGGGCTGTGAGGGGGGCTGAGGGGGACTGAGGGGGGCTGTGAGGGGGGCTGAGGGGGTGGGCCGGGCGGCTGTAGGGGGTGCAGCGGCCCCCAGGCCCAGGCCCTCACGGGAACGGCCGGCCCGCTCCCCGCAGACAAAGGCTTCAACTGCGCCGGCTTCCTGGCCCTGATGGGCGTCTGCTGGGAGGAGGCGCAGAACCAGGAGGGCGAGCTGAGGGCCGCCTCCGCCTTCGACAGGGAGGGTAGGGCTACATCGACTGGGACCCGCTCAAGCGGGCCGGGCGGGCGGGTGCTGCCTGCGCTGCCTCTCAGCGGGGCTCGGGGCCCGCAGCTGCCACTCATGGCCGGTTCGGGGCCCGCAGGTCCGTGCGCCCCTCAACGAGGTGGAGGCCGAGCAGATGGCGAAGGAGGCCGACAAGGGCGGGGACGGCACCATCGACTGCGAGGGTGAGGGGGCGGTGGGGCCTGGGGCCCACGGCTGAGCAGGCGGGTGCTGACCTGTCCCTCGTGGCCATGATGGCCGGAGAGTCCTTCAAGCTGGTGCAGTAGGAGCCGCCGCCGGGCCTGGGGAGGCTGACCATCGGGAGCCGCAGCCCCAGCTCCGCCCCAGCCCCAGCCCAGCCCCAGCCCCAGCCCCGCCCCAGCCCCAGTACAGCCCCTCCCCAGCCCCAGCCCCAGCCCCAGCCCACCCCGCTCACCTGCCACGCCCCACTTACCCACCCCCCCTCCACCTGCCCTGCCCCACCCCTTCCCACCCACCTATCCGCCCTGCCCACCCCAGTAAAGTAGCCAATAAACGTGCCCCCAGGACTCCCCTGGCTCCACTGCCCACCTGGCCTGGCTCAGATGTGAGTCAGGAAAGGGGAGGGGTTCTCCAGAGGCACCCAGGCTGTGACACCTGACCCCACCCACAGCCACAGCAGAGGGGGGCGGTGGTGGCCCGAGAGCCCCTCCCGAAGCAAGCCCTTTCCTGCAGCAGCGGCCACTTAGATACAAACTTTATTCTCTCCAAAAAGCCCTGGAGGCTCAGACCTGCGGGACTCCCTGTGGGCAGAGGGCCTGCTGGGCCTGGGCCAGGGGCTGGGGCCGGATGTAGCAACGTGTCTGTGTGTGTGTGTGTGTGTGTCTGTCTGCCTGGAGTTGCATAGCAACGGGGCCAGGGCTGCAGCAATGTGCTGGACGGCAGGCCTTCCCGGGGGAAGGATGGGGAGGGGGCTGGGGTCTCCTGGGACCTTCCCCACCCCCTCAGAGACACCAGGGTGGCGGCTGGGGGTGCTGGGCTTGGAGGCTCTGCGCCCCCGCCCTCCGGGGGTCCCGGCCCGAGGCTGCGGGGAGGGGCCGAGGCTACGGAGGCGGCGGCTCCTCCTGTCCGGGTTTGGCCATCCTCACAGCCTCGTCGTAGGAGGGGGGCAGCTCCAGGGTGTAGACTGGGCTGTAGGCGGGCGGGGTCATGGCGTCCAGGTCCAGCTCCGGGAAGGGCAGGGGCAGCCGCATGCCCAGCGGGTGCTGCACGGAGCTGTAGGCTGCGGGGAGCAGAGCGTCTGTGGGCTGGGCTGGCTCTCCGGCAGGCGGGGGCCAGGGAGGGTGCGTGTGTGGGGCACTCACAGGTCACGGTGCTGTGTGCCGGGCTGTCGCCGTCCCCGGGGAAGAGGGCCAGGTCGCAGGCGGGAGGCGCCGGGGGCAGGTGCCGGGCGTGGGGCCGCTTGCGGAGGCAGCAGAAGCGCACGCAGCTGGCCGTGACCCCGCACAGCAGCAGCAGCAGGACGGCGAGCAGGACGAGCCTGGGCGGGGGACGAGACCACCTACCGCTGGACGCACACCGCCACCACCCGCTCCCCGATGCCCAGCCAGGAGGCGGGAAAGTTGGGGGGGGGGAAGGGAACCGCAGCCTGGCCAGGGTGGCTCAGTGGTTGGGCATCAAGCTATGAACCAGGAGGTCCAGATCCCCAGTGTGGGGTGAGCCGGAAGCAGCTGATCTGTGATTCTCATCATTAACGTTTCTCTCGCTCTCCCTTCCTCTAGTCAATAAAAGTATTTAAAAAGCATTTAAGAAATCTACCATTAAACACACACACAGACCGCCCTCAGGCCAGCCCCTCCTTCCCGCGGGAGCAGGCCGGGGCGCTGGGCCTGCGTCCGGCTGCCTGGCCGCCTCCAGGCTGCGCGTCGGCCTTGGGCTCGCTCCCAGGACACACTGTCCCGGCCGCGGCGCGATCCGGTGCCCGGGCCAGGGGCCTCCCGGGAGGGCGGGCAGCGGGACCGGGCGGGCGGGCAGGAAGGGGCAGTCCGCGCGGAGCCCGGGGTCCGGGCGCGGGCGGGCCCGGGGGAGAGCGCCCCGGGGCGGGGGGACGGGGATGGGCGGGGGCGGTGCGGGGGGCTGTCGCCCCGGGGCGGCGGGGCCGGCGCGCTGGGCCCGGGACGCGGGCGGCGGCCGGGCCGGGCTGCGGCCTCACTCACCCCACGTGCCACAGGCTGCTCCAGCGGGCGGGCGGCGGGCACCTGCGGGCGGGCCCGGGCAGGGCGGTTAGCGCGCCCAGCCTCCGCCGCCCGCCCGCCCCCGTCCCGCTCCCCCGCCCGCACTTACTGGTCCGAGGGCTCACAGCCGCCGGCCGCGGAACCGGGCGTCACCTGCGGGGACAGGGGAGCTGGGCTCGGCGCGCCGCCCGCAGACGCGCCCCGGAGCCCGTCGGGCGCCCGGACCCACCTGAGGCAGCGGCAGCAGCGGCAGCAGCAGCCGCAGGAGCCCGCGCGCGGCCGGCGCCCCGGCGAGCATGCTGGGCGGGCGCGGAGTTCAGGCCCGGCCGCCGCCGCTATATGAGGCCCCGCCCCGCGCCGGCCCCGCCCCGCAGGCCCCGCCCGCGCAGGCCTCGCCCCCAGCTCCACCAGGGTCCCGTGACCACGCCCCGGTCCAGCCCTAAAGAACCGCCCTCGGCGCGTCCTTGCCCTCCTGGACAGTCTGGCATCCTGTGGCCGCAGGGCTTGGGGTGGCCTCAGGGTTTGGGGGTGGCCTCAGGGCTTGGGGGTGGCCTCAGGGTTTGGGGGTGGCCTCAGGGTTTGGGGTGGCCTCAGGGCTTGGGGGTGGCCTCAGGGTTTGGGGGTGGCCTCGCCTTCGGCCTGTCCTGCCGCTGGCTGGGAAGTTGAGGCCAGCGGGGTGGCACCCAGGACAGTGAAGCCAGGCTTGGCACAGCGCACAGTGCCCGCAGAGCATGAGGCTGGCGTGGGGGAGGCCGGCGTGGGGGAGGCCCTTGGGAGTCCGGCTGGGCTCTGGGCCCGCTGTGTCCTGCGGGCAACCATCTTCTGGGGGCGCTCTGCCTGAAGGCCAGGCTCAGTCTGGGCCTGGAGGGCCGCCATCCAGTGGGCTGAGGAAGGCCAGGTCATTCCTTCCAGGAGGTCCCCATGGCTCTCACCCTCCCCCCAGGCGCAGCCCCTCAGCCTCACCATGCCCCCTACTCCCCCATCCGGTGACCAAGCTCCGCCGGGCAGGGCCGTCCACGCCGCACTCAGCTCATGCAGTGCAGTGTGGCCCCTTGGGCAGGTCTCGCCGGGCTCCCTCCGGCCAGGACCTGCCAGGCACCTGCCCCTTGATCTCTGACCTCTGCCGCTGTCCCAAAGCTGTCCTACACCCCGGCTGCAATGCAGCCCCCAGGGCCCCCCCGGCCAGGCTGCCCCCCCTCTAGCCTCACTGCCTTCCAGGCCCCTTGGGGTCAGGCAGGACCTTGGCACTGAGTCCCGGGCCCAGCAGGAGGCCACGCCAGGCTCAGGAGGGGGCCTGCCCCCTCATGGGCACCCTAGGAGGAGGCGGGAACGCCCCTGCAGGGAGAACCTTCTGGGGCCGGGCTGGGCCTGCAGGACCCCGGCTTCCCCTGTGGCTGCCCCCGAGGAGGAGGCAGCTGGGGCTCCAGCTGGTTAGCCCGTGACGGGTAGGGAGAAGCCTAGCTGTGCCCACTGGACAGGAGTCCTGCATAGTCCGGCCACTGTCTCAGGCTTTAGTGAGGGGGCAGGGTTAGGGTGAGAGTGAGAGTGAGGGTGAGGGAGAGGGCCGGGTTAGGGTGAGGGTGAGGGAGGGGGCAGTTAGGGTGAGGGTGAGGGAGGGGGCAGTTAGGGTGAGGGTGAGGGAGGTGGCAGAGTTAGGGTGAGGGTGAGGGAGGGGGCAGGGTTAGGGTGAGGGTGAGGGAGGGAGCAGAGTTAGGGTGAGGGTGAGGGAGGGGGCAGAGTTAGGGTGAAGGTGAGGGAGGGGGCAGAGTTAGGGTGAGGGTGAGGGAGGGGGCAGAGTTAGGGTGAGGGTGAGGGAGGGGGCAGGGTTAGGGTGAGGGTGAGGGAGGGGGCAGAGTTAGGGTGAGGGTGAGGGAGGAGGCCGGGCTAGGGTGAGGTTGAGGGAGGGGGCCGGGTTAGGGAGGGGGCTGGGTTAGGGTGAGGGTGAGGGAGTGGGCAGGGTTAGGGTGAGGGTGAGGGAGGGGGCCGGGTTAGGGTGAGGGTGAGGGAGGGGGCAGGGTTAGGGTGAGGGTGAGGGTGAGGGAGGGGGCCAGGTTATGGTGAGGGTGAGAGTGAGGGAGGGGGCCAGGTTATGGTGAGGGTGAGAGTGAGGGAGGTGCCTGGTGCCCTGAGCCTCTGACCGGGAAGGCTGCAGTGCCCTCCTGGTGCCTGGCACCATCTGGAGCTGCAGGCACATCCTGGGCCAGGGCTGGGGGCGGCTTCCACTCTGCAGGGCAGTGGTCCCGGAGGCTGCGTCTGAACCCAGTTCAGAAAAGGGAACCAAGTCATAAGCTGGCTCCCGGCCTGGCTGGGGGCTCACACATGAGCTCCCGCCCTGCTTGGGGTTATCTGAGATCTGGAGGTGATGAGGAGCAGAGAGGGCTAAGCTACCCCCCATCCCACCCCAGCCCTGCCCGGCCACTTGTCCCCCCAGTGCTCCAGGCACCACCCTCCAGAGCTCAGGACTGCCCCCCCACACTGTGCTCGTGTGAGTCGCTGTCCCCTGCACACACACCTGCACACGGGTCACACGGAGGGTTTATTGACAGACCTGGCTCCCACTGGGCAGGCGTGGGCCGGGCTGGGGGCTGGGAGCTGAGGGCTCAGGCAGGAGCAGGAGCTGGCCGTGGGCGGGACCAAGTGGGCTGCAGGGAGCAGCTGTGCTGTGGGGCTGGGTGCCCCAGACATGGGGTCACACAGGGCTGCCCAGCAGGGATGCCAGTCCCAGGCCCATGGGAAGTCTGGTCTGGACCACAGACGGGGGCTGCGAGGGTGGGCAGGAGGGTCCAGGGGCCCGGCTGAGGCCCTGTGGCCTCAGGGCCCGGCCAGCACCTGGGCCAAGAAGAAGACCTTGTAGGTCTCCTTCACGTCGCCCCGGAGCTGCAGCAGGGCGGACGTCATGAGCGGGTGGTCCGGCTGGAACGAGGGGGAGGGGGATAAACAGCCAGCTGAGGCCTGTCCACCGGCTGCCCTGCCCGCCTCCCCCCCAGGCTGCCCTGCAGCGCCCTGGCTCCCGCCGCCGGAGCACCTACATCGAAGTCGGCGGGCGGCACCCAGGAGATGTTGAGGGTCCGGGTCTGGCCGCGCTCCACGGAGCCCTTGGAGGGCTCAATGGTGAAGCCCTTGTGCTGCAGGGCGGCCAGGCTGTCCAGGCTGAACTCCACTGTCTGCGGGAGTGGAACGGAGCTGCTGGGCCGGTGGGCGGGCGAGGGTGCGGGCAAGGGCGAGGGCACCCAGCTCCGCCCGCCCTCCCAGCCTGACCAGCGGGGCGGGGTCAGGACTGGGCTGCCCAGCAGGGGGACTGGCGCAGGGTGGGTCACCTTCTTGGCGGACAGCTGAGTGGTCCTGATGCAGCCCACCTGCAGCTCGCGAGTGGCAGGGGGCGGCGGTGTGTCCGTGTCCAGTTGAAGGTAGTCCAGCGTCACCAGGATGGGCTTCAGCTCCTCGGGTTCTGGCGTTGATGGGGGCGCTGGTTGGGCTGGTGGGGGTGCAGGAGGGGCTGGGGCGGAGGGAGGCCCTCCCCAGTGGAGCGGCCCCCCGTGGGGTGGGCGGGGGGCCCTCAGAGGCTCACCCTCCCTGCGCTCTAGACTGGAGGAGGGGATGGTCGTCAGCGACTCCACGGGCACGTCCAGGGGGTCCCCGCCCTCCACGAACATCATGTGCTCGCGGGCCGCGCCCCGCAGCAGCATGTCCTGGGACACTTTCTGGGCGACAGAGCACAGAGCCGCTCGCCGGTGCGGCGGGGGGGAGCAGGCCGCTAGTCCCCCCCACAGGCTGGGGCCCCGGCTCAGGCCCCCCTTCCACAGGCGGCAGCGCGTGTGGGCGGCGGCACCTTGTCGAAGAGCAGGACCTGCAGGCGGTCCGAGAAGTACAGGCTCTCGTGGTCGGGGCTGAAGGTCACGGTGAAGTCTTGCGTGGCGCCCGGGTCCAGGATGCCCGCCACCGGGACCACGCTGAACACGCTCTGCCCGTTGTGGTTCTGCGTGCCTGCGGGGGCGTGGCTGACACAAACCCCGCCCATAGCCCCCTCCCCTCCCCATCAGGCCCCTCCCCATCAGGTCCAGCCCCTGCAGACTCCGCCCACAGCCCCATCGGGCTCCGCCCACAGCCTCAGGCCCCGCCCACAGCTTCTCACCCACGATCTGGGTCCTATGGACCCGGGAGGTGAGGAACCGTGGCAGCCGCTGCAGCTCCTCCTGGCGGGAGCTGGACAGGCTGGCCAGGCGCACGGAGAACTGGATGGGCAGCGAGGAGTTGTTCTGCAGCTGCAGGGACCCGGCCAGTGAGCGCCCCCAGACCGTGCCCCCCTGGGCAGTGCCCCCAGGCTGTGCCCCCAGGCAGGCCCCGGCAGGGCCTTTGGGTGTCCTGGTTGGAGGCTGTGGAGGGAGGGCTGCCTGCGGGTGGGGGGCTCCCTGATCCTGGGGTGCCCCCCACAGCCTGGGCAGGGCAGGGCGGGCACCTTGAAGGTGGAGGAGACGGACTCCCTGGCGATCACGTAGCCCATGTTCAGCACGTCCCCCGCGATGGAGCAGGTGATCATGGAGGCCACGCCGGTGCCCACGAGGGTCAGCGTGAGGGTGCCCCTCTTGGTGATGATGTCCAGCGTCTCCTGGGCCTGCGGACACGGGCCCCTCAGTGCGGACACCACGTCCCTCAGGGTGGACACCACGTCCCTCAGTGCGGACACGAGCCCCTCAGCGCAGACACGGGCCCCTCAGGGCAGATACCACGTCCATCAGGGCAGACACGGGCCCCTTAGGGCGGACACCATGTCCCTCAGTGCGGACACCACGTCCCTCAGCTCGGACACCACGTCCCTCAGGGCGGACACGGGCCCCTCAGGGCGGACACCACATCCCTCAGTGAGGACACCATGTCCCTCAGGGCGGACACGGGCCCCTCAGTGAGGACACGGGCCCCTCAGCGCGGACACGGGCCCCTCAGGGCGGACACAGGCCCCTCAGTGCGGACACGGACCCCCTCAGGGCAGACACGGGCCCCTCAGGGCGGACACAGGCCCCTCAGGGCGGACACAGGCCCCTCAGCGCGGACACCACGTCCCTCAGCGCGGACACGGGCCCTTCAGGGCGGACACAGGCCCCTCAGGGCGGACACAGGCCCCTCAGTGCGGACACCACGTCCTTCAGCGCGGACACCACGTCCCTCAAGGCAGACACGAGCCCCTCAGCGCGGACACAGGCCCCTCAACGCGGACACCACGTCCCTCAGCGCGGACACGGGCCTCTCAACGCGGACACCACGTCCCTCAGCGCGGACACGGGCCTCTCAGCGCGGACACCA